CAGAGATCTGCTTGCCTCTGTCTCCCAAGTGCTGGGACTAAAGGTGTGCACCACCACCACTAGTCCATAAAATTGCTTTTATGCTACCTCATAACTGCAATTTTGCTGCTGTTTTGCATCACAACATGAATATGTTTGGAGATAGAAGTGTGCACACAGGTTGAGAACTGCTGCCCTAAGACTACTGTGCTATACAAGCTGCAAAAACAGGAAAAGGTACATGGCTGTCTGGCTTAACGGAGTGGTTCACAACCACGAGCAATTCTGTGCCACAGGGGACATTTGACAAGATTTTTGTTTCTTACAAATGAGAGGCAACCTGGGACACCAGGGTTGTTTCAAAATACTCTACAATGTATAGGTGCTATACTGCCTCAAACACCAATAGTCTCAAGCATGAGAACACAGCAGTTTAAAATTCCTCAGCATAGGTGACCTTGTAAAGTTTGGCAGAATCCTAAATTAAAAACAGAACAAAAGAAATGCAGGATGAGGAATGAGCGGATTAAAAATTCCCACGAGGTGGCGGTAAAAGACAAGTAATGCTGCAACCTCTCTTAGCATTTCCAAATCCTCTCACCCTTTCACACTGCTTTTTTTCCCATGTTATTTACTGAGCTCTACATTTTTCTCTACTCCCCTCCCTGCCTCTCCCCTCCCTCCTTCAATCTTCCCCCAAGGTCCCCATGCTCCCAATTTACTCAATTTTTCTACTTTCTACTTCCCATGTAGATTATATCTATGTAAGTCTCTCTTACTGTCCACATTGTTGTCTAAGTTCTCTGGGATCGTGGTTTGTAGACTGGCTTTCTTTGCTTTATGTTTAAAAACCACCTATGAGTGAGTACATGAGATAATTGTCTTTCTCTGTCTGGGTTACCTCACTCAAAATAATGTTTTCTAGTTCCATCCATTATCTTGCAAAATTCAAACTGTAATTTTTTTCTGCTGTATTGTACTCCATTGCATAAATGTACCAATTTTTTTTATTCATTCTTTGATCGAGGGGCATTTAGGTTGCTTCCAGGTTCCGGCTATGACAAACAAAGTTGCTATGAACATACTTGAGTACATGTCCTTGAGGCACAATTGAGCATCCTTTAGATATAGACCCAAAAGTAGTATTATTGGATCTTAAGGAAGGTTGTTTGCTAATTTTATGAGAAATCAACACACTGACATCCAAAGGGGTTGTACCAGCTTGCACTCCCACCAGCAATGCAGAAGTGTTCCCTTTTCCCCATAATCTCTCCAGCATAAGTTGTCATCAGTGGTTTTGATCTTGGCCATTCTTACAGGTGTAAGATGGAATCTCAGAGTTGTTTTGATTTGTATTTCTCTGATGACTAAGGATGTTGACCATTTTCTTAAGTGTCTTTCAGCCATTTTAGATTCCTCTGTTGAGAGTTCTCTGTTTAGGTCTGTACTTCACTTTTTTTTTCATTGGATTATGTGATCTGTTGGTGTCCAATTTCTTGAGTTCTTTGTATATTTTGGAGATCAGACCTCTGTCTGATGTGGGGTTGGTGAAGATCTTTTCTCATTCTGAAAACTGTTGTTTTGTCTTGTTGACCAGGTTGTTTGCTTTACAGAAGCTTTTCAGTTTCAGGAGGTCCCATTCATTAATTGTTTCTCTCAGTGTCTGTGGTGCTGGGGTTCTATTTAGGAAGTGGTTCGCTGTGCCAATGTGTTCAAGTGTACTTCCCACTTTCTCTTCTATAAGATTTAGTGTGGCTGGCTTTATGTTGAGGTCTTTGATCCATTTGGACTTGAGTTTTGTGCATGATGATAGATACGAGTCTATTTTCATTCTTCTACATGTTGATATCCAGTTATGCCAGCACCACTTGTTAAATATGCTTTCTTTTTTCCATTTGATATTTTTTGCTTCTTTATCAAGTATCAGGTGTTTGAAGCTGTGTGAATTGATGTCCGGGTCTTCTATTCAGTTCCATTGGTCCTCCTGTCTGTTCTTATGCCAATACCAGGCTTTTTTCAGTACTGTAGCTCTGTAGTAGAGTTTGAAGTCAGGGATTGAGATGCCTCCAGAAGTTCTTTTATTGCCCAAGATTATTTTGGCTATCCTGGGTTTTTTGCTTTTCCAAATGAAGTTGAGTACTGTTCTTTTGAGGTCTTTGAAGAATTTTGCTGGGATTTTGATGGACATTGCATTGAATCTGTAGAACGCTTTTGGTAAGTTTGCCATTTTTACTATATTAATTCTGCCTACCCAAGAGCATGGGACGTCTTTCCACCTTCTGGTGTCTTCTTCAGTTTCTTTCTTCAATGATTTAAAGTTCTTGTCATACAAGTCTTCTACTTGTTTGGTTAGAGTTACTCTGAGATTTTTTATGCTATTTGTTCCTATTGTGAAGGGTGTTGATTCTCTGATTTCTTCCTCAGCTCTTTTATCATCTGTCTACAGGAGGGCTACTGATTTTTTTGAGTTAATCTTGTATCCTGCTACATTGCTGAAAGTGTTTATGAGTTGTAGAAGTTCCTTGGTAGAATTTTTGGGATCACTTATGTAAACTATTATATCATCAGCAAATAGTGAGAGTTTGACTTCTTCTTTTCCAATTTGTATTCCCTTGATCTCCCTTTGGTGTCTTATTGCTCTAGCTAGGATCTCAAGAACTATATTGAATTGATATGGAGAGAGTGGACAACCTTGTCATGTACCTGATTTCAGTGGCATCGCTGGGAGTTTCTCTCCATTTAGTTTGATGTTGGCTATTGGCTTGCTGCATATTGCCTTAATTATGTCGACCTGCTTCTTAAACAGAATTCTCACCCTTTTTTTCACAGCCATTTCCCCTTTATTCATGAGCTAATGTATCACATGCCATCCATACATTTATGTTACTGTCTGAGGACAGCATCAATTTCTGCACTTAGAATCGAAAAATGGTCATGGGTTGGATTCTCACATTTTAGTGGCTCACTGTTAAACACCATCAATGTTTTTATGCGACTAATTTGAAATAACCACTAAAATTCAGCCAAGAAGATAGCTATCTCCATAAGACAAGGGGGAGGAAAGAATCTGCTAGCTTCTTGACTTTGTCTTCAGCTAACTTGCTGCTGGGTGCCTAGGCCATCTGGAAGATAGAAAATTCCAAAAGTGCTTTGTCTTTATGATGGATGAGTTGTCGAAGTCTTAAGACAATAAGTCTCAACTGTCGGTAACTTTGACCCTGGGGGACATTTTTTTTTTAGGTGTCACATGTGAGGGTCGCTACTGGCAACTCATTTTTTGCCTACACCAAACCACATGTGTACGTTCATGTGAGTGTATAGACTGGCCCTGTCTACAACATATTCTTCACATAATCTACTACGACATGCCAGGTATGGTAGTGAACCCTTTTCCACCTGGAAAATAGAAGCAAGGACAGGAACAATTCAAGTTCCCCCTGGGCTACATAGTGAGTAGGCTACCTAAGACTCTAAAACAAACAAACAAAACTAAAACATAACTGCACTTTCATTTACTGTCTACACTCTCTACCCAACCAACTGTCAATTTTATGAACTTAAAAAGCTATCTTGTTTACCGGTGTATATTCAGTAAAGAAAATACTACTCTCCATTAGAATCACAATGTATCCCACATATATCATTTTATGTTCTAACAAGCACATTAATAAGGTAAAAATATAAAGATGAAATTAATCTTACTCTTCCTTAAGGTAAATTATCCTCCCCTAGGGCAAGGTGTTTTTTTTTCACCTGGAACAGAGCTCCACGTATCCCAGGCTGGTCTCAGATTCACTATGTCACCAAAGACAACCTTGTCTCCATCTCCAGAATTCTGGGATTACAGGTGTGCCACCATGATCATTTTTAAGTCGCGCTAGGGGTATAATCCAGGGCATCATGCACTCTAGGTAAGCAATACATCAACTGAGCTATATCACAGTTGAGAATTTCAAAGTTAAGTCAGACTTGGTGATACATGCCTTTAATTCCAACAAGAGGCAGGTGAATCTCTGTGAATTCAAGTCAGCCTGGACTACATGGTGAGTTTCAAGCCAACCAAAAGTGAGACTGTCTCAATAACAACTAGATATTTTTATATTCTTTTTTTTCAATAATAATTCTTTAAAGTATACTATGGAATTTACTTTAGCATATTAAAAATTCTCACATTTCAATATCTCAAAGCCACGTGTGCCTAGAAGCTACAAGACAATGTAGACACTTAGCACACAGTAGGTAGCTGGTATATATTTGTTAAATATTTTTATACCAGTACGATTCGTCCACATTACAAGAACAAGGTAGTTAGTGTCTCACTAATGACACTACCTAATTGTCTTAGTCCTTTTTTTCTTTTTCACTTTTAAATTGTTTCCAGTTTTCACTTTTTGGAATAACCATGCAAATAAGCATCTGGTCCAAATTCAATTTTCATAGGAAAAGTTTCCCACAAGTTATGGCATATTTTGCCAAATAATTACATTGAGACGTCTACTAGTTTATATTTGATTATTAAGGACTCTCCTGCGACTCTAGCAGGACATACATTGCTGATAATTATGATGACAGAAATTGTTGATACTCTTTTGTCTGAGGTGAGGCATCAGGCTAGGTACCGTGTCAAGGTTAAGAAAGAGCGGACTGAGGCAGTTAAATACACAGAGCTCAGATCTGAGTGAATCTAGATTTCCAAAGCAGGAGCATTTCCCAGCCTCCATTTTAGGTACGTAGGAGAAAGCGACAGCTAAAGAAAAGAACAAAAAATGGGAGGTAACAGTCCCGCCCTGGTACCCAATAGGCAGGCCCGGGACCTTCCGCCGGGACCGCCCTCCAACCGCCTTCGCCACACCCGGACGTGCGAATTCCTTGTGTGCTTGCCTGTCAGGTCTGTGCAGCCCTGAAGGCGAGGTGATGTCGGCGGCCAAGGCAGAACTTCCGTCCTTCGGGAGCCGAACCGGAAGCGCACTCCTAGTTGCCCAGGCAACATCTCCCTCCTTCCCCCTTCCGTGTATCTCCTCCCCTCCCCCACCTCCTTACCCCCGCTCCACCGAAAATTGGGCCCGTGGTTGCCCACCGCCTGACATCTGCAAGCTGCATGCCCACGAGGTGACTTCGGGGACTGATGGGTTGCTTTGAGGGATTAAGGGAGTAGCCTGGGGGCCCCAGGTCTGATAGCCACAGAAACTTGAGGGACTGTCTTGATCACGTTGTGGCTCTAATTACCATTATCTGGCGGCACGAGGACTTGCAGAGACTCGTGAGAGTTCCAGACTCTTAACAGATTGCTTAAAGAAACCTAGTTCTAATTTCTGCTCTCAACCCCGTCGTGCTTACTAATCCTTGGATGCCTGCTAAAATTTCTGATGCTCAAGCACAGACTCTTTCAGTCGAAATCTTTAGAAGTGAGGCTCAAGCATGGGAACTACTTTAAACCTGTAATTCAAATGTGCAGTAATTGACCCGTTTGCAGTAGTAGGTCTATAGGTGAATTTGATTTTGCCTATCCAACCCTAGCTCAGTACAATTCCTTGAAGGTATGTCTATGATACTGGCTCATTTAAAAAAAAAAGAGTTTTCTTTTCCTTTCCTTTGGCCTCTTGTAGGTCAGGAGTCAGGAGTCTTAGTGGAAATTATCTTGAGAACATTTGATAGGCTAGGCTCTCTGGACTTAACTGTTCTTTGTTTTGTTTTAACCAAAAGCCAGACCATTACTTGAAATCTTTGGACTAAAAGTTAACACAAGGCTTCTAGGGTTATTTACTTTCTCTATTCCTATGAATTGTGAGGTTGTGGTACTATTTAAAAGTACAATTTATGCCAGCATAATTTGTTAGAATAATATCCCCTTTAGGATGGCAAAATGACAAGGAAATACACACATATGCTTTGGGGAAACCTAACAGGCAAGTTCACAGTGAAGTATATAATCCTCCCCTTGATTGCTGCACTGGGAAAGTATACAAACCAAAGTTGCAGAGAGACATTTTCGTTCTAAAACTATTTTACAGCTGGCAGACTATTTTGTGTGTCTTAAAATCCGGCGTTTAAGGAGAAGTTGAGATAAGACAGACGACAGGAAATTAAACATGGCTGGAGTATAGATAAGAAAGTTCACAAACCCAATATCGAACTCCCAGAATTACTTCTTTACATTAGGAAATCCACCCATAGAACACTTGGACAAGTGACTACAAACTGTAACTGTTTGATTAAGGCCAGATAAATTGAAAATATATTAACGGATTTCCGTGTACTGCTGAGAATATTTGGAACTTTTTGCTGTTTTTTGAGCTACTGAACCTTAATAATTTGGGGCTGCAGAGGTTGGAGAGGATATTATCAGGATGCAGCAGATAACCTCAACAATTCCAGCAGCCTCCACAGGTGGGAGACAATAGATGTTATTTTCTCTGGTGGCAGGAAAATGGGACCTGTAAAAGGAATACGTGGTGGGATCTATCCCTCCAAATAAGTGCCCAGAACAAGTACAGGACTCAGAAAAAGAAATTAGTATGGAATCTGTAGGAATGTGTTTATAGACAGTAATTTAAAGTAAATGTCCAGAAATATAAAAGTGGTTTTAACTACTTAAACTAAAGATTTTTACTGCTGTGTCAGTAATTTTGAGTGTGTGCTCTATGCGCCGCTATTCTTTCACGGTCACACTATGAAAGACACATGCCTGAAATGGAATGAATGCCATCTGTTTCTTCTTTTCAACAGGATTGTCATTGCCATTCTTGGTTGTCCCCATTTTCAGTTCTTCCATTGCCTGTGATGTTTCTGAGTCAGAATATCCTGCTCTTTCCTGGCCTTGTAGTTCATTTCTGATTGGCACTCGCCACATTAAGGGTTTAGCAAATAAAACCATTCACAAGTGTTTTTCACCCTTGCTGATACATTCAATATTGCCTTTCTGTGGGTGGAATGTGAATTGTGGGGGGAGAGGCAAGATTGGTAACTATCCCCTTTCCATCTTCTCCCCCACTCCCCATGCTGTCGTCCTGACAACACTTACTGCCACACCCAGACGACTGTAAAGCTGGGCTTGAGAGGGTGAAACGGGATTAAATATCACTTACTTGTCTCCTTCCATCTCCAACTCTAAAGGCGCAGACGGAAACACAGTGAGATGTGTGTTCGTAAGCGGGCCCTGTGTCCAGCTAAAGATGGAGCTTGTGGGGCTGGCAGGTGGCTTAGTTAGTGAAAGCATTTATCACCACCAAATGTGATACATACACACAATAAACAAATGTTCTTGTTTGAAAAATGAAGCTTTGACTTCTCCTGTGGGTGGAAGTAGAACATTTGGACTTAGGCCACCTTTAATGTCTAAATGATGGAGTAGGGACCATCCAAAGCCATAGGAAGAAATCCATGAGGTATCAAGCCTGTTGTGCTCAACGAGCTAGGGGTAGCATGGAGACAGCCAGAGTAGGAGGGCAGGAAACAAACTGTCTGAAATTGGCAAGTTAGCTTTTCTCCCCATTGAGCTAACTCTTGGTATTTGTACAATTGAAAGGCATCTCTGGGGTTAGCATTACATGTTCAGAACGATTTCTTAGAATCACAGGTGACTTCTGTTACTCGTGGCCCCTTCATTTGCTTTGTTTTAGTCTTCGGCACACTCCCTTGTAGCGTGTGTTCTGAGGGTCTTAATTACGCCCCCAAACTATCAGTCTGTGACTCAGAGCCAAGTCAGTGGAGACCTCAACAGAAAAGGGTTGAGCCTCCAGGCTGTAGCCACAAAGACTAATTTAATAATTGATTTTGACTGGCTTCCTTTGTAAAAGTAAAAGCAAATGAGCTTTCATGTATTTAATTTTCAAAATTGTACCAAAAAAAGACAGAAAGAAAATTTGTGTTAAGACACATAGTTTTGAGCCAGGCGATGGTGGCGCACACCTTTAATCCCAGCACTCGGGAGGCAGAGGCAGGCGGATCTCTGATCTCTGTGAGTTCGAGACCAGCCTGGTCTACAGAGCTAGTTCCAGGACAGGCTCCAAAGCCACAGAGAAACCCTGTCTCGAAAAACCAAAAAAAAAAAAAAAAGACACATAGTTTTGGAGGGAGTTTGTGATTTTTACTTTCTGGTTGTCATGGCATGCCCTATATCCTATATTTATAAGAATATGTGTGTGTGTGTGTGTGTGTGTGTGTGTGTGTGTGTGTGTATTCAAGAAAAAAAGAAAGCATGTAAATATGCAATGAAAAGAATACATACTTTTGACAAAGTTTCCAATAAGGCGTTACAGCTGGAGTTTTTTTTAGTAATTTAGTGGAGAGAGTTACATTGTATTTGTGGAAAAATGACAAAGCTCTTAACTGTTGTTCTTCATGTATAGTTAATGTGTTTAAAAATCTATCTTTTAGAGCAAGAAAGTCATAGCAGAACAAATGTGGGTGTTTTGGGTGTTTTTTCTTGTTGGTTTTTTTTTCCTTTTTCTCTTTTTGCCTTAGAAGAGCTGTATGGGAAAATATATCATTCAAGACTGGGAGGCTCTGTCTTGTCTGTAGGCCTTAGCAGTGTTTCGTGAATGACCTCAATGCTGTTGTGGTTTTTTTCTCCCTTCTTTGGTGGTTGAGAACAATGAACCGTCTCTGTATTCACCAGAGCTCAGCTGGGTGGTGACCATGATGCCATTGTGCTGGCTGTGGAGGGCTGCCCAGTTTGCAGAGCTGTGGATCCGGCCTTTCCTGACATTGTCAGTCCCTTTTCTCTCAGTTCCACCAGCCCTTCAGAAGAAAACGTATTCAGTCCCTGAAGGCTTGTTCCAGAAAGGAGACTTTGGGGGGGGGGGGGTGAAAGATAAAATGGAAGCCCTTAAGACCCCGTACACTTTCTTTTCTTGAGGAGAATGCTGCTTACTGCCTGAGGATGTTGCAGTGTTGGCTTTGCCAGGGATGCCAAGTGTTCTTAACCCACTAAAAATACCACCGGACTCATTTGGGTGGGTGGGTGGGGCGGTGTTTTTTGGAGCAGACTCGATTCCCTTGCACTAAAGACTGTGTGTTCCTTCCGGGTATATATGTGCTCAAAACTGCCATGCCTGCTTTTTCATGCTGCTGTTGCTAGTTAGCAGTCTATGTCAGAAAACATGACCCTAGCCAGGCTTTCTACTGCTGACTGATACCATTGTGCAGTCTCTTCCTGCTTTTTAGAAAAGATGGATTTCTGTTTTATGTGTATGGATGTTTTGCCTGCATGTATGTAAGTGCACTACATTCATGAAGTGCCCAAGGAAGCTAAAAGACACACTGGATTCCCCTGGAACTGGGATTACAGGTGGTTGTCAGCCACTGTGTTGGTTCTGGAAATTGAACCCATCCTCTGCAAGAGCAACAAGTGCTCTTAACCCCTGAGCCCTGAGCCATCTCTCCCCCTTGTTGGTGCTTTGCTTTTTTTTTTTTTGGTTTTTTTTTTTTTTTTTTTTTTTGGTTTTTTGAGACAGGGTTTCTCTGTGGCTTTGGAGCCTGTCCTGGTTCTTGCTCTGTAGACCAGGCTGGTCTCGAACTCAGAGAGATCCGCCTGCCTCTGCCTCCCCTGCCTCCCGAGTGCTGGGATTAAAGGCGTGCGCCACCATCGCCCGGCCTTGTTGGTGCTTTTAATTAAGTCTTTCTTTTTTGTTTGTTTGTTTTTGTTTTTCAATACAGGGTTTCTCTGTAGCTTTTTGGAGCCTGTCCTGGAACTAGCTCTAGTAGACCAGGCTGGCCTTGAACTCACAGAGATCCGCCTGCCTCTGCCTCGCGAGTGCTGGGATTAAAGGCGTGCACCACCACTTCCCCCCTAATTAAGTCTTTCAATGTCTATGAAGAGCTTTAATTGAATGTCCCATTTTCCTTACTAGAAGCAGTTTTCTTTTGCCCCCAAATATTAGGAATCACTTACCAAGACTAGAATTGATCCTAATTTCTTCTAGTCTTATGTAGAGCCTAATCATGAAATATATAAGAATTATATGATTCCTCCGCTGACTTCCAAGTAGAATGTGGAGAATATTTGGGAGCCAGGCAGTGGTGGCACACGCCTTTAATCCCAGCATTCAGGAGGCAGATTCAGGCTGATCTCTGTGAATTCTAGGCCAGCCTGGTCTACAAAAGCTAGT